CTTGTGATCGTCCAGTCTCAGCCTCCCAAGTAGCTGGGATTACAGGTGTGTGCTACCACGCCTGGCTCCCTCTGCCTCCTTGAGTGCACTTTGCCTAATTAAACCTGTGTTAATCAAAAGAAATAATTTGAGAATTTCTGTAATAAGGATAGGTGTCTTGAACATGGCAACAATTCAATTCTGCCTTAAGATAAAAATCTGTTCAATCAGAGAGGAAATAACTCAAAACTATCCTAGCAAGGACTCCCTTCCACTACTATGCCTATACTGTTGGGCTCCCCTGCCTGCTGGTTATTTAAATTGAGAATAATCCTAGACAACCAGTTTTAAGAAAAATATATGGGAACACTTCAGAGTCTCAACCTCAATTAAGGAAGTAATTTCTTTTTGTTGTTGTTTTTTGAGACAGGGTCTTATTACATACTCCAGGTTGCCCTAGATCTCACTAGTAGCCCAGGCCAACCCCAAACTCATGGTGATCCTCCTGCCTCAGCCTCCTGAGTGCTGGGATTACAGGCGTGTACCACCACACCTGGCTAAGGAAGTAATCTCTTAAATGCATGGTTGTGGGGCTGTAGCTCAGTGGTAGAAGCTCATCCAGCATGTGTGAGGCCCTGGGTGTGAACCCCAGCATACACACAAAGTGCTTGCTTTGGCAGCACATACACTAACACTGGAATGACAGAGAAGATTAGAATGGCCCCTACATAGGATGATATGCATGGGCCGGGGATTTAGCTCAGTGGTTCTGCCACCTGCCCTACAAGTGCAAGGTCCTCAGTTCGATGCCCGGTACAAAAAAAAAAAAGGATGACATGCAAATTTGTGAAGTTGTTCCATATTTTAAAAGAAAAAAGCATAGTTGTGCTTTCTTGCCTGCTGCTGTCACATTAAAACTCAGTGTAGAAGTTAATGAACAGTGTATTTACAGTATTTTGCCAGGCAAATCAAAATAGGCCATTACCTAAACCTTCCTTTTATAGGTATTTATTTTCTAGATTTTTCTAGTGGCTGCCTGCCTCTAAAACATCTCCCCTAGAAATGAAGTAAAATGGGAAATTCTGAATGCCCATTCTTTATCTAATCTGAAGAGTCCAGGTTACTTTTGTATACCTAACTGCTGGGCTTAGTGATTAATTAATTAGCCAATAGTGAAAACCTGGTATAGCTGGAAGATGAAATAATGACTAGTCAGACACTCTAAAGGTGTGGTGGCACACATCTGTAATCCCAGTACATTCAGGAGGCTGAGGCAGGAATATCACTGTGAGTTTGAGGCCAGTATGAGCTACATACATAGTTAAAGGCCACCCTGGAATACAGAGACCATATCTCAAAAAGGGGTGGGGGTGGGGGCTGGGAATGTGGCTCAATGTGAAGGCCCTGGGTTCAATCCTCAGTATTACCAAAAAAA